TAATACATATTTATAAAATTAATTTAAAAAAAATTTTTTTAAAAAATTTTAATTTTTCATAAAAGTAAATCAGAAGGAAATTTGTAGTAATTAAGCAGACAAATTTGCCTGCAAACCTCTACAATCTAAGGGATAGAAAGGTTATTCAGTTCAAATATATCAGCTTGAAGCATCAAAATTATTTAAAGTGGCAGCTGATGATGGATTGGCAAATGCACAGTTATGATATGCATTTAGTTTAGTTAAAATTTGTGAAACTAAAATGTAATATGAGCATATTTATTGAATATCTTGCAAAAGCTGCTGATAATAATAATTGCATAACTCAGTATAATGTAGGGGATTTATATATTAATGGTAAATTGAGTGTGACTAAAAATGTATCACTTGGTATGAAATATTTAAAATTAGCTACATCAGCTAGTTATTCTAGAGCTATTGAATTATTACAACATTTTGAGATTATCATTTTTCTTAGAAAAACTAATAAAATTTATGAAGCATTCCAATATATTGCATTAGTTGATAAGCTAAAATTGCATTAAAACTATTAAGACTATGGACAAATTTAATACAAATAAAAGAATTTGTGTTAAACTTAAAGGAATTAGAGATTTTATGTAGAATATCTCTCAATTATAAGAATTTACAAAAGATCACACATATTTGGATCATTATGAAAGATTTGAATTTAACAACAATTGAAAAGAAAATTTCTTAAAAATAATTATTTTGAATTTAGACCATTTAAAATAACCATAATAGAGTCACATAATCTTACAGAATCTTGTGAAGATAAATCAACTGATTGTGAGAATATAGATATTGCTTATATTTCCACTGCAATTTCAGATGATATTTTCATAAAAACTGACTTATCTTACTATGTTAGAAAAGCTCTTATAACATTTTAAAATTTTATGCACTCTTCCATATATCAATGATCAATTGTTAATGATATTTAAATGGGCTATAGATGAGGGACGAAACCCTTAATAACAGTTGAAACTTAGGCAAATCTATATTAAAATTATAATAAGGGATATGATGAAACCCATTCAATATGACGAAAGCCAAAACTGTCAAAACTATATTAAAAATATAGAAAAGGGTATAATGAAATTATTTTGAGTAGATTTCGGTAGGCATCTATAGAATGGGCTGAATTAGAAAACCTTTGTGATGTTTATAATACATATAATATTTCATAAATTACAAAGGTAAGAAGTAATATATTTAATTATTTTAAAAAAAAATTCATAAAAAATTTCCTTTTTATTCTTTTATTAAGTTTTTATTGCTATTGGTATTGTTATAGTATCAATTTTCTAAATTCTTATTCCATTCATCATGAAATCTGCGATAACTTCAAATCAGTTAATTAAAGTTTTTTATTGAAGCTTTTAAATGCATATCAAAGTTCAATCATGTATTTTATAATAATTCAAATTTAATGATATTTAATCACTATTCTTCAATTTTGTATAAAGTTGAAGAATAATGTAAAGACATATTTGTATATAGTAATTTGTCATATATTAGCATAAGTAATTTGATTCTTAAGACACTTTATATCACAAATATTACCAATAATTGTTTCTTATCTAGGATCTCTTGCAAAAAAATGCAAAGATAATTAAAATAATAAAATAAATGTACTAGTATTTCTTAGAATACAGTAAAAATGTAAAAACAAAAGGTGTAACATGAGATTACAAATTATATAAAGTCAGAATGAAAAATATGTTAGTAAGATTTTTGAATTAAATGTTTTTTCCATCATTTAAATTAAAGTAATAATAATAATTTATTTATTAAATATATTATCAAAATAAAAAAAAAATCTTCAATTATTTTAAAAAAATTAAACTAATACAAAGAAGTACTAATAAAGAAAAACTACCTCTTCAAGTTCTTCATCTAAAACTAGAGATCTAATAAGGAAAATAACTAATAAAATGAAAAGTATTACAAGTTACAATGATAAAATCATTATAAATCTCATAATATCAGAATCAGTTCAGAAATCAGTTTATAAGATAGCAAAAACAAAAAAAAACTTAATAAGGTTATACAATAGTGGTTAGTATTTAACAGATCAGATCATATTTACATTTTATGAGCAAGTGCATTTTTATTTACAAGACTCAAAGAAAAAAAATTTTTTTTTAATTATTTATATCATAATTTATATTTGTAAATCATGTATTTTATATTACTTATAATAATATAAATTATTTATAATTATCAAATAAATTAAATTTTTGGGTTATATATCTGATTTGATAACTAAAAAATTTGTATTTTCAAGTCAGTCAGGTAATAACCTGAACTTTTCGCTAAAAAGCAATAGGTATATTATAAATCAAATAATAAAATTAACATATTTTATAGATCATAATATCATAAACTATGATTTGTTAAGATTACTACTATCTATTACTGTGTTACCAAATAATAATTTTACTTATAAATATAAAAAAATTTAATAAATCAATTTGATTTTAAAATTTTATTAATATTATCTGTTCATAATTTTTCTTTTTAATACTAGAAGTTGTAAAATACCTTAATGATAATTTATGATATTTTAAATTATGCATAAATTGAGGTATATATTGTGCAAAAATATGTATATATAGTGTAACATCTATTGCATAATAAATACCTTTTGAATTATTTGTTTTTGCTGATAAATTATTAGATGACAAAAAAGTTTAATCAATTTTTAGCATTTCTTTCAAATTTATTAATTTTATCATATATATGATTTTCTTTTCTTATTATATAATATAATCTATAAAATTCACATCATAATTCTTTATTATTTGTCTTCATTCTCCAAAATAAATACATTAACTGGTAATTTTTCTAAAATTATATTTTAGCTAAACTCATTAATAATCTTCAAGTCTATTTTTCATTTGAAATTTTTAGTATAAAAAATTCTAAGTGTACTTTGATATTTTTCATAATTTGTTTAATTACATTTAAAATTGTTTTGTAGTAATTTCATTAAAAAAAACATTCTAAAAGAACATCAATAATTCGTAATAAAATATATAATTCATCAGAAATCTAATTTTGAGTTTTAATCATTGGTAATATTAAAGGAATTTTTTGACCTTTATAAATAATATAATTAAATTAAATTTTATAAAAATTATATTAAATTTTTTACCTTTTTAATTTTTACTATTAAACTATACTTGATTCATATTAAATCTATATTCTTTATCACATTCAAAAAAAATATTAATAATTAGCTGCATTTTTATATGATATAATAGTCAAATATTTTCAATTACCCAAAAAAAAATTTAATATTCTATATAATATGATTATATGTAAAATTATTTATTTGTAAATTTATTAATTCTTATATAAAAAAAACTTAATACTGATTCTATTGATATATAATTTTCTTTTTAATATATAAATAAATACTAATATATAAATTATTTTAAAAAATATTAGTTTATTAAATATTATATAATAAAATATACAACTCATAAAATTTAAATATACCGTGGCTCACAAAAAAAATGCATCACTCAGCAAAAAAATTTGAATTATAAATATCTTTTATTTTTAGTTATTGTATGACAATAAATTTTTTTATTTATATTATTACCAAAATTAAAGCAATTCAATATAAAAAAAATTAAAGCATATTTATTATTTTGATTCAGTTAATCATTCAAATTTTTTAAATTTTTCTAATGCATTTCTTTTTACCATTTCAAATATCATTACTACGTATCAAATATTTATCTAAAAAATGTTAATTATAACAAATTAACAAATTTTATTAATCTTTACCATCTAGTATAATTATCGTGGGCTTTAATTACATCCTTAACTCTTTTAGGCATAGTATTAATTAACTTGTTACAATAGTTAGTTTTAATGCTATCCTATGCTGATTTTAGGTTTTCCTACAAGGTATCTCTATTATAAGCTAGGTTTGAATTATTACGTAAGTGTTTATCAACCTTATTCCATAAATCTTTAATTAGATTTAGGTCAGGAGATTGGGCCGACCAATTTAATAAGGTAATAGAATTATCGCAAAACCATTTTTTAGCTTTTTTGAAATATGTTTTAGATCATTATCTTGTTGAAAAAATATATGATCCTTATTTAAATTATATCGCGAAAGTGTTGTTAAAAAACCATTATCTAATATTTGACAATAAAGATCAGTATTCATGATTCCTTCAATATTGACTAAATTATTAACTTCGTTAGTTGTAAAGCAGCTCCAAACTATTACTCCACCTCCATCAAGTTTAACTGTTAGAATAACATGTTGGTCTTTTAAAGGTTCTGTTAGCTTTTTCTAATAATATTGTTACCCATCAGAATTAAATATAAGGAATTTACTTTCATCTGACCAAATAACTTTTCGCCAATCTTCAACAGTTCAATTTTTATATTTTTTTAGCCTATTCTAATCATTTCTTTCTATGAGTATTTTTAAATAAAGCTTATTCCTTTTAGTTCTAGCAACTAATCTATTTTTTCTGAATATTCTACGTACAGTTTCAGCAGAAATAACAATTCCTTCATCAACTCTAAACTTGGATTGTACTTCAATGGCTATAGAACACTCTTTAAAACAAATGTAATGTAAGAGTTTTCGTTCATATCTTTCACTCAAGGATTTTGGGCGACCAGATTTAGGTCGATCATCAAAATTTTCAGTTTCATTAAATTTTTTACATATTCGTATAATTGATGATTGATTAACACCTTCTTGAACTGCAACCTCTTTAGTTAAAAATCCCATTTGATGAAGTGTATGAATACGAGATCATTTTTCTATTGATATTCGAGACATTGAAGGTAAAAAAATATCATTTTATGAATTCTTTTATGATGATAAAGCTTTTTATATATACTTTTATATAACAATTATCTTATATTTTAATGAATTTAATTTTACGTAGTCTTTTGTTAAAAATCAGTAAAAAGAAATGCATCACTTAAAATATAATTATATTTATTTATTACATTTACATAAATATGTTTTTTTTATTAATTGCATACAAAAGTGAAGATCAATTAATGAACAATTAAAATGAATCAATTTTTATTGTCATACAATAACTAAAAATAAAAAATATTTATAATTCAAATTTTTTTGTTGGGCGATGCTTTTTTTTTGAGTCACGGTAAACTCATATTGATAATCAAGTTTTAATACTTCATCTTTTTCATTTAAAAATAAATAGTTGACATAATATGATTTTGATTTTTCTTACATTTCTTTCATCATCATCTAATCTAAAAAAAAGAGTATCATCAAGTATTATAATAGACTGAATTAATCTCATTTAAATAGAAACTAATATTTTAAGTATATCAGTTATTTATCTATATATATCATTATTAATATCTTTTATATTAATAGCTATTTTTTTGATATGTAAATAAAATTAATTTATGTTTAGTAATAAGTAATTCAATTTTTTGCTGAATAACAATTCTAAAAGAAATTAGTCTTTTATTTATTGAGCAATTCCAATTTCAGTAAATAGAT